AAGAAAGACCGTCCATCATTAAACAGAGGTGGAGGCCTCCGTTTTCAGCTGTCCTCCTCCTACAGCGCGGCTATTGCCAGTATCACTCCACCCTCTGGTAACAATAGGTATTAATTAGGTGTCAACGATAGCCATGTGATGTGAGTATCAGTCACATCACAAAAGCCTGCCTGAAACTCTCAGACTGAAGAAGTCTCTTGGAGAAGAGACGAAACGTTTCATTAGAGAAGAAACCGTCCAGAAGACCTATACAATTTTTTTCTTTTTTAACAGATAAAATACATTATTATACATTATACCTAGCTTTTCTACTTTTCAAAATCATTGCAACAATGTTAAAAAAAATCCAAATTTATTCAACTAAAACTGTATAACAATTTTTTAAAAATAATCCATATTGAACTTTTGTTTATTGCTTTTTATGGTCAAGTGATGTATTGTAGCTGTATTGCAGATTGTAGATGTATTGTATAACTTCAGCTTGTTTGAAAGGTTCCTCTTTTAACATTACAGATTTAGGCTTTTGTATCATTTTGGAAAACTTTTGACTTTTTCAGAAATGATAAGCTTGACTAATTAATCAGGGCACTGGTGCCATTTAGTCAGTCGAGCAAAGACAAATGCCAAAAAATAATTACTGATGTGACAAAAAAAATCGCAGCCGAGTGTGAAGTGGCCGGGATGAGGCTCAGTGCCTCCAAATCCGAGACCATGGTTTGAGCTGGAAAAGGGTAGGGTACCTTCTCCGGGTCGGGGAGGAGGTTGTTATGGAAATATTTATTTAACAAAGACAGAAATACGTGGTCCAAGAATGAGGGTACTCCGTGAGATGATCAGCTGAGTTTAATTGCAACAACAGGAAACACAGAGAACAACAGAGCCATTGAACTGTCCCCCTGCTCTCTGCTCCTGTTTCTGCTCTCTTGAGGCAGTTGAGGCCTCATACAGTATATAGTATACTGTTTAACAAACACCATTATGTCATCTTAATAAAGCAAGATTTCATCCTAAGGAAATGCTGGGTCAAGGGAAACACAAAGATAAACACTAGTGATATCCAAGAGTGATTGTTGTTACCAAATCTTGTTCTGACTTTAATAATTCTATCTGCTGATAAACAGCATGTCATGAAAACTTAGGTCATTAAAGTACGTCATGAAAAACTGGCTTAGACCTAAAARTATTATTTCCATTACTCTCTTGCCTGCCCCAAGTGGAGGAGTTTAAGTATCTCGGGGTCTTGTTCACAAATGAGGGAAGAATGGAGCGGGAGATCGACAGGCGGATTGGTGTTGTGTCTGCAGTGATGCGGGTGCTGTACCGGTCTGTCGTGGTGAAGTGAGAGCTGAGCCAGAAGGCCAAGCTCTACGTTCATACCCTCATCCATGGTCTTGAGCTTTGGGAAGTGACCGAACGAACGAGATCACAGATACAAGCGGCTAAAATGAGTTTCCTCTGCAGGGTGTCTGGGCTCTCCCTTAGAGATAGGGTGAGAAGCTCAGTCATCCAGGAGGGACTCAGAGTAGAGCCGCTGCTCCTCCACGTCGAGAGGAGCCAGTTGAGGTGGCTCAGGCATCTGGTTAGGATGCCTCCTGGATGCCTCCTTGGTGAGGTGTTCCGGGCATGTCCCACTGGGAGGAGGCCCAGAGGAAGACCCAGGACACGCTGGAGGGACTGTTTCTCAGCTGGCCTGGGAACACCTTGGGATTCCCCCGGATGAGCTGGCCCAAGTGACTGGAGAGAGGGAAATCTGGGTCTCTCTGCTTAGGCTGCTGCACCCACAACCCGATCCTGGATAAGCAGCAGAAAATGGACGGACAGACGGTGACCAAAAATMTTCAAGGCAGTAACTGTTATTTGACTATAAAGTAATAAATAAATGAAGCTTTATGACCTGATGGCAGCACAACATGCAGGAAAACCCTTTTGTTTTCCGTGTTTGGTTTAAGAACATGTTTGTTCTTACCATATTTTATTGGCAATGCAATGTAAAATGAGGAGATTTCAGAGTTGTACCAAAGACAATAATGGGCTGGTTGGATTTATTGCTCACCGTTTGTTTGAAATCAGTCTGACTCGTGTGGTTCTGGACCAAAATGCTTGCAAGTCAAACATATTAGGGAACACTGACTATGATACTGACTGTGAAACACCATTTAGTTGAATAATTTTGTCTTGTGATTTATGCTAATCTGTAAAAACGCTCTTTTTCCAGGTTTCGCTGTATTGTTTACCCTCTACAACCGAAGCTGACTCTGCTTGTTGCCAAGGTAGCCATTGTGACCATCTGGGTGTTGGCTGTGGCAATCATGTGTCCTGCTGCAGTAGCACTAACTGTGGAGAAAGTGCCCTTTCATTACATGGTGTACAATGATGACTTCAACCACACGCTGCCCCTGTACACCTGCTACGAAAACTTTGCCAACCCTCAGATGAGGAAGGTCTACACTGCTGTTCTGTTCGCCCACGTCTACCTGATCCCCCTCACTGTAATCACACTGATGTACGTGAGCATTGGAGTCAAACTGTGTTCTTCTGCAGTCGTGAACAGAGAACCACAACTGGCCCACGCCACAATCCAGGCAGGAGGCCGGAGACACGGTCAGCCAGTGATTTCACAGAAGAAGGTCAAGGTGATTAAAATGCTCATTGTGGTGGCTCTGCTCTTCATGCTGTCCTGGCTGCCACTTTGGACCCTCATGATGATGGCAGATTACGGTGGCTTGGACAGGGAGCAGCTGGACCTTATGACCAGCTACATCTTCCCCTTCGCCCACTGGCTGGCGTTCTCCAACTCCAGCGTGAACCCCATCGTCTACGGCTACTACAACAAGAACTTCAAGAGGGGCTTCCAGGCGGTGTGCAAAACAAAGCCCTTCTGCTGCAGAATGCCCAGGTGGGGAAGGAGAGGAAGGTCCCTGCAAATACCTTGCCAAGGTACTGAATTAAGAGATGGCACCAACAACCATGGCAACTTTGTGCTGGGGCTGAGAAATCGGGTTCATAATGACAACAAGTTGAGTGAAACACCAGAGGAGAACAGGAGCTCAAGGGTGGGCTGTGTGGTGGTCCACAAAGGCAGAAGTCTTTCTGATCAAGGCTTAGAAATGGTAGCTATACATAAGAAAAGCAGCAACGAGGAAGTTTCAGAAAAGGTTAGCTCACTAGCAGTTTCAGTGTATCAGGCATGGGATAACTGAGGACTGTAACATTATTAACCGATGTGAATGTAGCCATCACAAGTTGAGCTGTAGGCCAAAGGAGGAGAAATTTATTTCTTATGTCAAATTAGAAATCCTGTCAGTGATTAGACGGCAACACAATGACCCCCTGTTTATAAAATTGTCACATTTTTTAGCACAATCACCCAAAATAGTCCAAGTCAAGACAAGACTGCAAATAAAACTCATTTTTACCAATAATTCATCATCTGTAGAAAAACACCATTTTTATTCTTTAGGTAAATACAATATACAAATCTAACAACCAGCGTATACTAGAATTTGCAAAAACTTTTGATATGTTCAATTTTCACTATAAAACAAAATGTTCAATTTTCACTATAAAACAAAAAGCTAAGGTACAAAACCTGGACTACCCTCCAATTTTTTTTAAACAAAAATCACTTGAATTAAATAGATTGTTTGGCCTTTTTCTAGAGATCGACCGATACAGGTTTTTGAAGGCCGATACCGATACCGATTTTTTAAAAATCAGTCTAACCGATACGCCGATACGAGCAGCCGATATTTTTGGGCCGATTCTTGAAGCCGATACTAACTTTTCTTCCTCCATTAACAATGATAACAATAACAAATGTTACACAGGTCTCAACTTAAAAAACATTTATTGATAAACAAACAAAACATTAACAGTGGATAGCAGACAATATGTACATATACAG